GCTTTTTTTCTAAAGTCATCTAAACTCCACTGCTGTTGTTGTTATGCCGCTCGTAAAATATTATATTCATTCGGTGGTGTGCGGAAAACGAATGCGTTATTATTGTTATTATTTTTTTTTTTATTATTATTATTGTGTTTTTTAAAAAAAAAAAAGTTTTCATTTCCTCTCGTTATTGCCAAAGTACCTACCTGCCTATACCTGCCCATAGATCTGCCGCAGCTCAAATTTGACGAAATGACAACAACAATGATGGTATACGGCGTATAATATTATATTATACGTTACAGGTACCTATAAACCCAAAAGAGAGCGTCGCGACGACAGATGTTACACCTATATATGTATATGCGGTATCCGACAACGACTCGTGTGACGGAAATAATATTATGCGAAAACAAAAGATCTCGAGTAAAACTATATACATCCGTCACGTTTGCTCTGCGGCAGATATCAAGTTTTCAAAATTCGCGTGTCTCCGTTTAGCAAAAACACATACACATATACCTGCAGCGTATCCGATATTCGTGTGTGTGTGTGTGGGTGGGTGGGTGTGTGTGAGTGAGGGTGAGTGCGGGAGAGTGTGGGTGAGTACGTGTGCGTGTGCTCGAGAGAGATGTCGTCCTCATCGCGGGGGGCAGACAAAAGGGACGAAACATAGACGCCAAACGGGCTCGGCACGCACGTCGTAAAAAACTTGCGCCGAGTGTCTTTGTGCAGTGTCCGCCTCGTACATTTAATATCATTATGAATGTATTTGTCCAGAGAATACGCATCCTGCAATGACACCACGCCGGCTGACTATGGTCGTGGTAAGCATTTCGTCTCCGGTTCATCACCCGCGGTACGTACGTACATATCGTTGTTGTTATTATCATTATTACGCACATTGTACACCGTCGTGTTCGATAATTATTGTTTTTTTAATCACAGGACCCATATTATGCACGCCTACACCTGCGTATTATTGTTGTACGCGCGACTATACCAGACATGCTAATATTGATAATAATTGTTATAATAATGATACCTATATGTATTATTATCGAAGTGTATCAGGTACCATAGTTATACACGAATAATTAATAAACGACGAGTGTGACGGAATCCAGTTCGTATATTTTGGACGACGGCGACTTATTTTGTCGTCGACCAGCAGTATTTTGTTCAACAACTTTTAAACTAGTTTTGGTTGTGAAGGTATACGTTATAAACTTCAATGTCGATAAAACGTCGAAGTGATGGTAATAAAAACATAATTCGAACTTATAACCATTTGGTTGTCGATTAAATTTAATAAAATCACTTGTGAACAATAAACAAAATAATTAGTTTTAATGTTTTAATTAAATTACGAGTTAATTATCGGCCAGTGAAGATATTATAACTGTTATTATTAATTATTATATCGTCATTAATATTATACGTGTGTAACGTAATAAAAAAAAGATAAAGAAGTTACACCGGGAGATAAAGAAATTATAGACGGAAAGAAAAATTATTCACATACGCGTTTGACAATATAACTTTCCAAAATTCAAAAGATGTATTGAATTCGCCCCCATACGAACACGCACGCACACATACGCGCAGTTAATGGTTAGTGTCCATAAACAAGATATACCTTATTGGTTATTGTGCTTAAAATTTATTATAGATAGTTATACCTAAATAAAGCTGATTTTAAAAAAACAAATCAAAATACACATTTTTGAATTCATTACATATAAAATAGTAAATACAGTAAACATATTATTAAAATAATAGCCAACTGCAGTTTTATTATGGTGGTAAGAAATTTTAACTAAATTACTTATATAAATGAAAAAAAATATTTGAATACCTACTATCATCGCTCCGCTTAGAATCTAAAATGATAGATATATCTCAATTATATTGACAACGGCACTGGGACTTATTTGTATGTTTTTATTTTTGGTGTATTGGGGAGAAAAGTATTTTTGCTTCACTGAACAATTCTTTAGAGGTGAACCCTTTTTTTACTCGTCACAGGTTACACTCAAATTAATATGCTTTTACCTAATGGAAAAATTCTACGTCATTCTCGAATCTCGATGTATTAACTCTTATATTTTATTTTTAGAATTTATTTTAACGTTAATACTGTAATACATAAACAAAACTGAGTAAATATTTAGTATTGATTGATTCATTTTTAATAAAAATGCAAATATCATTTAATTCTTCTTGGTTGCTTTTATTCTAAATGTTTACCATTTGCTCGTGTGAAAGCTTATATTGTTTTTATTTATGTTGGGTACCTATATGCGTAAGTACATTATGTCCTGCAGATTATAATATTCAAGAGCTATTGAAGTCATTCGGCAGAATACATAGGTTAGGTACGTATCTCGTATCAAATTATCATACTAAAATTTTAGCAGTGCTTTCGAAATGTACAAGCTTGGAAGGTAGTTTTAGTTTTTCTGTTTTTGAACTGTTGTGAGTATATTTGATGCCATTGTTCTCGAAAACGACTTGTCGAAGTAACATAAGAATCTCAAGGGGACAACACAATGGTCCATAATAATTAGAGATTTTATAGAGAACACAAATTTACATATGCACCACAGTCTACATTTGAAGAGGACGAAAAGCAAATCTACACTCATTTTTCTCGAAATAATAAAATAAATTGTTGTTTCAGTTAAGAAAATAGCACACAAGCAAATATAACTACGTAACTTAAATTTACTTAATCCAAATATGTACGATATCATTTATTAGTTATTTTTTTTTTAAATACAAAATAAATAAACTATATCAAATCTATTATTTAAAGCGATACCTACATCTAGATGGAAAATTAACCTGGAAAATCCACATCATCCAAAACCATAACCAAGGTCATACAATGATGATAATCCTGCATCCATTGTTAAATCACAGTTCAACACTTCAGATGAAATATACCCTACTATACTACGGTAATAATAATACCTCACTTAACCTACACAAACCCAGGATAGATAGCACCATTCCCAACAAAAATTAAAAATTACCAACTTGCCAAAATAAATTACCAAGAATAACACTAAAAGCCCCTCGTTTCAAGCAAAATAAACAGCTTCACAACGGTACTGGATTACCCTACAAGAATACCTAGTTTATCAAAATAATACATATCTTATCGCAATTATTTATACACAAAATATAAAGACGGATAAATAATTTTCAAAAGGGGAAAAAACAGAATTTCAACTATTGGAAAAAAATTTGAACGTATAAAGACCATAAAAAAATGAAATCATATTATTTAGAACTTTTAATTGATGGGTGAAATGAACAATTAATGTTCTCAGTCATATACACTATACGTATGAGTAAATGACATAACGTAAAATGTGCGTCGTACCTATTAGCGACAACTGATTTATACAAAGATATTTATTTTAAATTTTAATATGTGGTATTATAATTAAAAATCAAGTTTGATTAATTGAAACCAGTTTTTGGTTCTAAAAAAATGAGCTGTTTATACCCTACACTGTACATTTATAAAAAAAAATGGTTTTTTTTCACATTTAAATAAAACTATCAAAATAAATAATGAAAAAAAATCAAATATTGCAAAACCGTATAAAACTACGTTTTATTTATTGTAGACTTCGAGCCGAGCGAAGTATTGGTTGTACAATGTGGTGTATTCTTATTCATATCATTTTAGGTACACTTTATTATGGATATAGATATAGATTATACATGTAGATCCCATAACATATTTATGCAACACGCAAATTAAATATCTAGACTATATAATATTATATTATACTCCAAGTTTTTTGATGGATGATTGATTAGACTATTAGAGAAAACATCATTCCGGTTTACTGAACTCAAGGTTTTCTTTTAACCAAATTCAATTAGTTTATTTTTTAACGTTTGCTAAATTTAATATAAAATAATCATTGATGTTTTATGTTTATATTTTAGTAATACGAATACATTTTATCATTATATTTTATAGTAATAAGAATTTGTATTTTTTCTGTTTGTTAAAGGTTGCGTGAAACTTATATTATGTTTCAACTGATAACAAAATGATCAAAAGTAACATTTATACTCTAAGTACGTTTAAATATTCATTAAGAACTAGATTAAATAATGGTTTAAACTTTATTGTAGTTAATGAAAACACTATTTATAATGGATATATTATTATTTATTTTATAAACATTTATTATTTATTGTTTTAAAAAAAAAGTTTTTCTCGTTACTATTAAAAATGAATTGGAAGTCTGTGAGTTTTTCTAAAGTAAGCATACTAATGTAAACAATTAAGCAATTCAGTGATTCAAACAAATTTTATATTCCATTTTCTTTCTCTATTTTTTTTTTTTTTTTTAGTCATAATTAAGTCAACAAAACTGTAACTGGTGAAAATTTTAAATTTTGGACAGAACCCGTATTGTTTATTTAAAACAAGTATGTAGATGGAAAAAAATGTATGTATTTTGTACTAACCAATATTGAATATACTAGTAATTTCATTACAATTTTAAATCCATAAATGGTAGGTAGGTAGGTAGGTCAGGTAGGTAGTCGGTATTCATATTATATTTTGTGGAACTGTGTTTGGAGAGGCCATTTGTAGGAATAATATATAAACTCAAACCTTTTACTTCATTGTTCTAGAATGTGTATTTATCAATACCCCGAACGGTAATAAATACGACAGAGTAGTATAAATTGCATATCCACCGATACAATATGTACCTACGGACGGTTACGGCATAAATCATATGACATAGAAATGCGGTCGAAATTATAAACGACTACGCAAGATATTTATTTTAAAATCAATTTGTATATTATTACGTGGGCATGGACGGTGTTACTTTTGTTTAACTAACTCGTCTGTATTGTATAATATATATATACGATATATCTATATAAAACCAAAGAAACCCGAGCTTTTTCGGTGCAGTACAAATTGAATTATTATTATCATTATTATCGTCACGTGGAGGTCGACTTACCTTAAAATGGGAAATCCTTGCGGACGTTGGACACATTTTCAAACGTCCAATGACGTTGATAATAGGGATTGCGGAAAAACTCCTCGCGAAAGCGCACAAAATCGAAACTTTCACAAGCGATTGATTATTGAAAAATCTTAGAAAAAATAAAAAATAATTTTAACAAATTTCGTTCCGAACTCGATAATCGATTTTATAATAATATAAGTGAAAACGTCCGACTCTTTAATACAACAAGCGTATTATGGTGTGTGCGATGCTCGCGAGCAGTAGGTCGACCGTGTTCCAGTGTGCGATAATAATAATTCCAACAAATTCCGATCGATGTCGGTTGTTGGAAACCGACGGATTATGTTTTTTAATTATATAAAAAAAAAATTTCGGTACGAGAGAGCAAGAGAGAGAGAGAGACGAGACTCGGGAAGGCGGAAGAATCGATAATTAATGTAAACGACGAAAAAATAAGACAATTAAAAAAACAATAATAATAATAATATCATCGACGAATCGATGTTTTTTTTTTTTTTTTTGAAACGGCGGCAAACGATAACGTTACGACTGGGTTTCGGATTTAAAAGTTGGGCGCGATCGTACGACCATCAGACTCGCACACGAGTGAGTGAGGGACTCTCGGAGATGGTATTCGCGAAACGTCGCAACGGAGAGCTAGCGCAACGCGTAATGGCTTGAATGTGCGCGTGTGTGTGTGTGTGTGTGTGTGTGAGTGAGTGTGAGTGTGCGCGCGCGCGCGCCCGTCGTCGGTTTGTGTGTGTGTGTGTGTTCGTGTGTATCCACGCGGTCGGTCCGGGGGGGAATCCCCTCTGGCCTGCAGAGCGCGCACGCGGTGGCCGCTGCCGCCGCCGCCGCCGCCACCCGAGAGCTGCTGTGTGCGGTATGTGTGTCGCGCACAAACAAGTGGAAAAACAATAACAAAAACTAATAATAATAATAATAATAATAACGATAGTAATATTATTGCGGCGGCGACGACGACGACGATGATGACGATGATTATTTTGCAATAATATAATATTTAATAAAATGACTATCAAGGCGACGACGCGGCACAGTGGGTCAATCCGCAGCTGCATTGTTGCGACAGACTACAAGAACGTACTGTGGGTACAACTTCGGGGGGTGTTCGTGCAGGGCGCAAGTGGATATTATGAGATTTCGAATGTCGAGAGGCTCGAAATCGGTCGGACACTTGACACATGATGGGACAGGGGCAATTTATTTCGTGATACAGTTCTTACAATAATATACACCTGCAAGACGTAAATATTTATGACAAATTACGACAAATCGCTAAATGAACGAGCACCCGCATTACAATAATATCATGTTTGAACTCAGCAACCTCGATGTAACCCAACGCCCTATCAGTCTAGCAGTCGGGCCCGACGAGGACATCAGCACTCAAATTTTAAAGTTGTATAAGCTGTAAATTTACAAAAAAAAATCATGTCAATTAAAAACAATATATTATTATGTATAATAAATACGTAATGGCACAAACTTTGATGTTAAATTATTACTTATGAAGTGCAAACTCGCCATCGAGATGCTCTGACCGGTGACTTTAAATGGTAATAAAACTTATCAATGATTATTATTATTATTATCATCGGTAGAACTGTAGACAGACTTAATATTCACCGAATTACAATTATATACTGCTGTCTGTACATTCAAATATATTTTTTCTTTTTGCAATACTGCTCTAAATGAATCTGTCTACGTCGAATAATTGCTTTAACTATTTTAATATTTTTTTTTGCCAATTTTGGGTTTTGTCTTGAAAGCTCCTCTGTATTTAAGCTCATCTGTCATACCACATGGTTTAATATGGTATAATATTTGTGTTTGGAGTGTTTGGCAGATTATGGGCAGGTTCAGACGGGATTGACTGCAGATTTCAGTTTCCTAGTAATACGGAGATGCTTTTATTCCCGTTTCTATTGACGTGAAAGTAAAAAAGCTCTGGCAGCGTGCGCTCTACAGAAGGGATTTTTTTTCAATTTTCTCGGCGTATGCATTGCGCTACTGTCCTAAACTAAGCGTCCGGAAAAACTATACTGAAAAAAACTGCGACCGACCTCCGTACGATCGTTTAAGGAACGCCATCGCTTCGCAGGAATTCATATAATGTATATACGATAGCACGCAAGACTTATATCCTGCGCCGCAAATGTACGATCGAAACAAAATCCGACGTCCGGTAATATACGCTCCCTGTGTACATGTAGTGTCCGGTTTTTAAACGTTAGTTTTTGTATTGCACCGCCGCCGCTTAATATAAGAATCCCCAACGCGGTATCCGGTAACGCGGTATCCGGCCGAGAAACGCGCGTCGTACAATACGATGTGGCTATTTAATATTATATTATTGTGTTAAAATATAATATACAATAAATATGCATGCATATACCTAGCCATACATAATATTATAGACGTATTGTATACAAACTCGCCCTAGCGACCGGCCCGGTCGTATAATTAATGCGACGACAACGGAACTTTGTGACAAAAGGGGATTGCAGACACCTCTTTCTCTCCATCTCTCTTAAGCACCTATATAATATAACATGCACGTAAGTAAGGTAAATACTATCATTTACACCGCATAGAGACGTTCAAACGAGCTTTTGAACCTTTGAATACCTATACTATGGTTTTATGGAAATACCTATACAATATAATATGTTTAATGTATACTGTATATTCTACATAGGCACTAAGGTACATCGACGTTCAACACAAATCGATTGGATTCCCACAACTGTGTCGATTTTTTTCCAAAATGATTGAATAATATATATACACATGTTTAAGTGATTATATTGATTTATTCGGTTGGGTCAGCTGAGCATAGATATCGTCAAGAAATCGTCATTCATATGCTAATAATAATTAATAACAAATAATATTGTACCCAATACAATTATGAACTCTCGAATAAAAGGTAAAGTTCCTTATATTACGATGAAGCAAAGATAAAATAATATATATATTTTGCTTGTATTACACACTGACTATTCTTATAATGTTGCAAAAATATTTTAACTTTTAAAGATCAGTTTTTACTTATATAACTAAATTAGTCTACTTATGTATGTGGGTATAGACACCTATTTGTAACAGTCTTAATATACATGACATTGAATGTTTGAAATATTCATGGTTAACCTCGAATAGTAAAGGTAATTTAGACTGTTATGTCATAACAAGCTCTATGCTGTCTGCAGTTACAATTATTATTATTAAAACAAAAATACTCGCAAAGTCTGCTTAGTAGACTCTATGTAATATTATAATCATGAATCAAATGAAAGATGGTAATTATTTTGTGTACAAGCTTATGATAATATAATACAATCGATGGTTCTCGACAGAAATAATGTCAATAATTTGGATATTCTCGTCAGCTTGATACAAAAAAATACGCCACTCAAAAATAAGAAAAATATCAAATCATCTCCACCAATAAGAAAGACGGTCGTGTATTGAAGTGTAATTATTGTGAATTATTAAACTAAATGGAATTTCGTCTGAATATAGAAATATTATTCAACTGTTGACTCATAACAATTATTGTAGTAATATTATCATTTATGATAGGCGCTGTTGCTGGACAATTAACAATAATTAGAAATTTGATAAAAAATTATGTCTAATAATTTTGTATAGGATATAGGTAGGTACTTACACAGTGGATGACGCTCGTTATTGTGGGGTTTTTGTCATGCACAAAGAAAATCGCAACTCACAACATAAATTATTGCGTTTTTAAATACGTGAAAATAATAATTAATATTACATGTTTTTGACTTTTATCGTAATTAGTAATAATTTTATGACTCAAGATTCATAGAAAAAAAAGAGATAAATACATTTTGTGTACATACAATTCAATATTATCATAATAATTACGACGGATCTACGAGGTTGGAAGCATGCAATAAGCGTATGCAATAATTATTAAGTCGATTTTTTTTAATAATAAATGGCGCATTTAGCAATAATAACTGGAAAAGTTTAGAATATTGTAACTTATAATCTATCATTCACAAACTATAACTACATAATATCAAATTACAGAAATTTATTTTTAACTTACGAATATTAAAAAATCCATTATTTAGGTTATCACTGATTATTAAGACAATCGTTTTATTTATTATTACCTACCTGTTATTACAATATATTATACTATACACAATAGTATAGTTATAAAGAAATATTTCAGTTATTCCTGTAATTTTATGAAGATATCGTACAAATATGTCATATCTGTAGTTAACATAAAACGGATAACTGCAGTATATTTTAATTAAAAGATTTTTATATGTATCCTATTGTGTTTGATACGCAGTTAAATTGTTGAGACATAACCCACAAATTCTTTAAAATACGATACCCATTGACTTTATATTTATTTAGATTTTAGGTACTTATATAAAAAAAGTATTTTAATTATTTTCTATATTCATTATGAACTAGATACGATTATTGTTTAAATGTTTGTGTTGATGGACATTTATATAATATTTTTTTTACAGCTCAACTTTTAAAATATAGAATATTTTTATAAACGTTTTTATATCTTTTTTTACGACTTTAAACAAATAAATATATACACAATATATAGTACATGTTCAACGCCCTGTGGTATCAAATATAAAATATTAAAGTGGTCGTTATTTTATTTTTATTTTTTTGTTGTTTGGACATTAAAAGTTCATTTTTAAAGAATGAAATACTTTTTAGAAGTAGAAAAGGTTTTCAATGTACAAAGCATGCAGTTTTCGCTGAGCTGAAAGTAAAAATTGTTGCTGTCTATAATGTTTACGGACTTAACATTCTTGGATTACAATTAACGCCCAACCTGAGATTGTCATATTAAAAATACGATTCTCTACAACAATCGTCAATCCCTTACGTTCATTCTCAAAACACTTTGATACCAGCATTAAATTTCTCGAACAAGTTTTATCTCAGTTTATGCAATAATAAAATAGGTACAAACATTTTAAAACACATCTCTTCGAACATTAATTATAATGCTCTTCCGTACATCTCACATTACACCCCATAACATAGTGTTCTAAAAACAATATCAAATAAGCAAATAATATGTTCTAAAAACGTTTTCACAATACTTAAACCTGTCCACTTAAGTAATCTCAGAAAAATCTTCTACATACATTTCAAACAAAACTGGTCTCATCTAACCAACACAATAATAGTTAATATTATAACATGTATCTACTATCTACAGACTACTAAAAAGCATTTATCTAAAAAGAATAACAATATTAAAAATAATTCACTGCATATAATAGTAATTGTTGATAATAGCTGCCACTGTTATTATCAAAATAATAATTCATGTGTTTTTACTACATTATAATAATAAATACGTGTTGTACCTGACAATTCGTAAAATTGTATATTGTCAAAATAAGAAATCAGGGAACTCGCTCAGCTACTGCAGATAAGTGTGCAAATAAAAACTGTATAAATATTTGAGAAAAAATGCAAGTCTCTACGGTTTTATTTTTGAATTACAATCAAAAAACAATATTATTTTGTTAACAACTGGTTTTCCGTAGAGGACACTTTTATTTGTCACCTCACAGA